CTCCTGGGTTCAAACGATTTCCCTGCCTGAGCCTCCCAAGTAGCTAGGATTACAGGCGCGCACCACCACACCAAGCTAATTTTGTATTTTTAGCAGAGACAGGGTTTCACCATGTTGGTCAGAGTGGTCTCCAACTCCTGACTTCAGGTGATTGGCCTGCCTCAGCCTCTCAAAGTGCTGTGATTACAGGCGTGAGCCCCTGTGCCCGGCCCACATCACTCTTTTTGACTGTTTCATGATATTTGGTAGTATAGCTGAATCATAGGTTAGTCATTGCCTTAATGACAATGACTAAAGTTTAGTTAGTCAATGGCTTAAGTAGCATCTAGGTTATTCTCAATTGTTTTTGTTGTTTTAAGATCTGTTAGACTGAATACCTTTGCACATCATTGTCTTCTGCGGCTCCGTGCTTGTTTCTCTAAATTGGTGCTGAGCAGTGACATTGTAATTTATAGACATGTCCAGTTTAAGCTTTTGAAGATCATTCCAAAATGCCCTAAAAAGTAAAAATTTATTCGACTACAATTCATACTGTTGCTATCCCTATCTTTGCCTACATTTAGTATTAGTGAACGTTTGCTTTCACCAGCTTGTTGTGTGAAAAATTATATCTATTTTATGTTGGTGAGGTAATTTTTCTATGGCAAATATATACAAAATTATATATATATATACGAATACACAGTTCAAATAATAAAACAGGCACCCAAGTCCCTACTGCTCAGCTAAATATTGTCTTAGAATTATCTCGTGATCCTTTCTGATTGTGCAGCAATAATTCACTCATTTTTGCTCCTGTATAAGAATACACCATGACTTTTCTATTTTACAATGATGGACATTTGGGTTATTTCTTGTTTTTTCCTGTTAGGGACTCTGAGCCTATAAGCTTTCTTATGGCTGACATACATGTGCAAGAGCATGGCTAAGGTATTCCTAGTCATGAAATTGCTGAATTCTAGGTATAGTGGATACTGACAAAAGTGAAATTTTGTCTGCCCAAGTTCATTTTCCCCATCTTACACATGGGCGTTCATCTAGACTGCATTTCCCAGCCTCCCTTTTAGTTGGATATGGCTATGTGACTACGTGCTCACTAGTAGAATTCAAGCAGCTTTCTATTCTGCTAGGTTAGGATCAGAGACTTAGAGTGGTGGTTGTACCTCTTCCATGCTTTCTTCTGTTTTCCACCTAGACAAAACCAAAACATGGTGGTGACCCAACTTAAATTTTGCAGAAACTGACTTAGAACCGATTACCTGAATGACCATGAGGATCAAAGCTGTCCCACTGACCAGACTGTAAACTTTGGAACTGATATGTGAGAGAGAAACTTCTTTACCTTAAAGCCATTTATTGTTAGTGTCTTTATGATGTCAGCCTGTACTTACTCTAGTTAATACATAAGGAAGCACATGTTAAACTTCACTGAGGGATGCCATACTCCTATCCAAAATGTTTAAAGCAATTTACACTCCCACTGGTATTTTACGACAGCTCTTGCTGCTCTCTATCCTACCAACCCTAGCTATTGTCTGACTTTATTAGGCTTACCTATCAGTGGGTGAGAAGCATTATCTCAGTATTGTTTTCATTATCAAATGAGGTTGTACATTTTTTCAGATATTGTTAGCTTATTCACAGTTACTTGTATCTGAAATGTCTATTTGAATCTTTTGTCCCCTTTTTAACACTGGGTGCTTTTTTGTAGTCAAATATATAAAATTTTCATTGTAGTCATTTTAACTGTATAATTCACAATGCTGCACAATCATCACCACTATTTACTTCCAAAGCCCTTTTACCACTCTAACCAGAAGCTCTATACTCATTAAGCATTAACTCCCAATTCCTCTGCCCCCCCCCATCCCCTGGTAACCAGTAACCTTGCTATCTTTGTGAAATCACATATTCTATATATTTCATATAAGTGGAGTCACACAGCATTTATCCTTTTGTATGTGGTGTAAAAATATGGAGTGCTTCACAAATTTGCGTGTTACCTTTACAGAGCGGTCATGCTAATCTGTATCATTCCAATTTTAGTGTATGTGTTGTCAAAGTGAGCACTTGGGTGCTTTTGACACATTTATTTCATATTGATTTATAGGAATTTTTTATATATTCTAGATGCCAATACTTTTAAAATTAAGTTGCAGATATTTTCTCTCATTGTATGGCTTAACTATGTTTATGGTGTCTTTTTGCATCAAAGTTTTCATTTTGTTAGTCAAGTATATCTGTATTTTCCTTTATAGTTTGTGCTGCTTGTGTTCTATTTATAAAATTCTCCTCCTTACAGCCCACTTCATTGAGCTATTCTCCTCTGTCATATGCAAAAATATTATGCAGTCTTCCATTTAATATTGGTTTTCAATCCACCTGGAATTGATATTTGTATGAGAAAGGAATCTAATTTTATTTTTCAAATTGTCTCGCCAATGCTTATTGAATAGTTTATTCCTTCTCACCACTTTGTAATGGTTCCCTTGACATGGATTTTTCATATGTACATTGGTCCTAAATCTCTATATCATTCCATATTGTTTTAATTATGGTAGCTTTATAGTAAGTTTTGATAGTTGGTAAGGCAAAGCCTTCCATTCTGTCTGTATTCAAAATTGTCTTCGTTATTCTTGCCTTTGCCTTTGAATTTTAGGGTCAAATTGTCAAATTCTTCAAAAATATTATGGGTATTTTTTTTGTACTTGCCTTGAATCTATAGGAAAAATTGGGGAGAATAGCCATGAGATTTCCAGTTATTTAAATGTTGTTTAATAAAGTTTTTATTATTATTATTTTTTAATTTGCCTCATTTCTGGATTTTAATAATGTTTTACATATTTTTTCTGGACAGGCCTTTAAAAACTTTCTTAGGATTTGTTCCAATATATATTAGAGTGTTTATTGCCATTAAAAATGCTGTATTATTCACATGGACACAAAGATGGGAACAATAAACACTGGGGATGGCTTGAGTGGGGAAGGCAGGAAGGGGTGGTGGGTTGCAAGGTTACCCATCGGGCGCTATGCCCGCTGCCCTGGTTGATGGATCATTCATACACCACGCCTTATTTACCCACATAACAAACTTGTACATGTACCCCTGGAACCTAAAATAAAAGTAGTAGAAGGAAAAATGCTGAAATTTTAAAAACTTGCTTATTTGTTGCTTATGTTTAAGAAAACAATAGATTTTTATATATTGACTTTGTAACTAGCAAACTTGCTAATGATTTATATTTGGTCTAATGATT